AGAAAACTATAAATTATAAATATATTACATATTATTAAATATATATTAAATTTATTTAAAAATTAAATACAGCATCTAAGATCTAAAATACAAAGAACCTAACCCTAGAGCATCGCCTAGGCCTAAGAGCTAGTTTTTTTAACTGCAATGTAATTATATGTCTTCTAATATATTATGGCGCTTTGCAATAAAGTGTGACACTGTGATTTTTGTGATGATGGTAACAGGAGGAAACGTTGATGATGGTAGTTGGAAATTTCGGAGATTTAGATTTATATTAATTATATCAGGTTTTTTTGAAATTTTATAGCAGATGACCCATTTATCAAGTCCGGCCTGACCTAGGTTTAGCCCAGCCCGTTCTGAACCCTAATAATAATGCATTTCTGCGTCTTGATGAAAGTTATACATGATGTATATTCTGCATATTATATGAGTGATGCCAAATGAAAACTAGTCTTCGGTTTTTTTTATTACTTACTAGACTAGAATCAACCCTGAAGGAGATACATATAACAAGTAATTAAATTTACTTAAGTATAATATATGGTTCTGATCACAGCTGTGTCTAGTAAATAATAAATATCGCGACTGATCATAGGCAGATTGACTAATAAATTCAATTTAAATTTACATTATTTATACAGTTTAGAACCAAAAAATAAAATAAAAAATTATACAGAAGGTTTTATTAGAGCCGTAGGACTCCATAGTCAAAAAAAAAAGATCTAATTCTCGTCCATTTAAAAAAAATTAACTTAGTAATAAGTTGATTTTATCGGGTTTTGAGAAGCTATTATTATACTAACTTTTTTAAACAGACGAGAATTAGATCTTATTTTTGGCTATCCTAAAGCTCTAATGAAGCTATACAGTTTTTTTTTATTTCATTATGATTAGTTTTCGTTTTTTTTTAAAAAAAAGTACTCTAAATCGTATAAATAATGTAAAATTAAATTGAATTTATTAGTCATCCAGACAATCTTATGCCTATGGCGCGGCTAATTCAAAAATTTAGGGTTAAATTGAAAATATAAACCCTGCTAAAATCCACATATACATTTTAATTATTAATTCTAGCCCCCAACCTTTATAACAAATATAGGTACTAATTTCAGCATCAACATCAGCCGCGACAATAAATAATAAAATTTAAAGTCTGAAGTCTGATTTTCCTTTGGCGTCACACATATGACCTCGCGCGAAATGTGAAATGACAACATACATGACGAAAATTTGAGGTCAACAGATTATTATAACTTTATTGTTTTTGGTTTCTGAAAAGAAAAAATTTACGTTTAATATATCACAGATCATCAAGATTTTCTTTATTGAAATCTTATTCCACGAAACTGACTTTAATGTTCTCAGGAATTTTTTTTATTAAAAAAAACAAATTTTAATATTTTCATGGAACAATAAAGATGATATCAGTATATCGCGCGTTGGTACATCTCTAATCATGATCATTTGAATTCGTTGAATAAAGATTTTTATTTAATCAATCATTTTTTTTACATTTATGTACTGTATAGTTGTGAATTGATTTTAACGATTAATTCAACAATAGATTCATAATTGGGTATTTTTGGTACAATTTGATGTTTCTACATATTAACATTCAAGAAAATCGGATCACTATACGTTGTGAGAAGAAAAAGTTCTCAAAGTTGTCGCCGAAGTGATAATAGGAGTACTAGCGATAATTGCAGTACTAGCAGAAATGGTAGATATGGTAGAAAAATTTGTAGTAAATTAGTACTATGTAAAAAGTATTTAAACACTAACTTTTGCTGTAAATAAAGAATAACTCAGAGTTCGTTCCATTAATTTCCTCCGATAAGGAAAATCAGTATTAACGATAGGAATTAGTGAATAAATTCCGTGACTTCGGATTAAGAGATCCGTGACGTAGTCTAGAGCTCTAATTGACCCTAGTTATTCGGGCCAAGTCTTTCTACGCCTCGATCGTAGCCTTCCATTAATTTCCTCCGATAAGGAAAATCAGTATTAACGATAGGAATTAGTGAATAAATTCCGTGACTTCGGATTAAGAGATCCGTGACGTAGTCTAGAGCTCTAATTGACCCTAGTTATTCGGACCAAGTCTTTCTACGCCTCGATCGTAGCCTTCCATTATTAGGGTTAGAATTAGAGTAGTATTTAGTAGAGTTGGTTTGTTAGCGTAACACGAATTAGATATATTTCAGCCTGGTACATCATGCATATTAACCGATCAAGAGAATGATAGATACGTATATGAAAATAAAGTTTATATAAATACCCAGGTATTGGACTCGGGTAGAGATTTCTGTTATACGTTACATAGCTGTCTAAAATATCAAGGGTTCATTTCATCACATGGATATGCATAATATTTGAAACAAAAAAGTTTCTTATCAACATCTAACGCCTTTACAATCGTTACTTTATGCAAAATACCAAATCTTCATAACGATAAAGACAGGCTTATTCGCTAACTTTTTATACGTATAGAATATACAGTATTATAGATATACATATACACGTATACATCATATACAAATACATACATATATACAGTATACATATATATATATATAAGATTTTTTTTAAAAAAAACATTTTCAGAGTTTAAATTTTTATTTTAACGGTTGATTTATTTATTATTATTTGTTCTATCCGTTATTCTTTATGTTTAATTTTACATATATTTTTTTAGATGAATAAAGATTGCAATAAAGATTCTCAAAAAAATGACGAAACTGTCTCTCTGAAAACAACTCTAAATGCACTCCTCACAGCGGTTAGTTTTAGTGATTTTATTCTTTTATTGAAAGTTTTCGTTAGTAAATAAATATATATATATATTTTAGACCTTAAATCCTGCATATAGCGGGTTCGTTTCTTTGGGCGAACTTTGCTCGTATTTCCCAAGGTTAATCAAACAGGCAGTTAGTGTTATTGCTATTATTATTATTATTACGAATTATTATTACATTTATTTAGAATATTGATTTGCTAGGTCGGAAGCCAATTCACTTTAGATGTTAAGTTTTTATCCATCAACATTCAAGTAGACCCTATAGTCGATGTCGATGATGCCAACGTTGAACTTTCATTTAAAGACATTGATGCTGACGCCACTAACCCAGAAGATGAAAATAAGAAATGTCAGAATTCTGATTCAGAACAGAAGACTTTGACATCTAGTATAAATGAATAACGTGATATTAAATTTCACCCAGTTCTATTATCATGTTAATAATTTAATTATAAATTTATTAAAACAATGAAAAAAATGTTAATTCGAAAATTAACGCTAGTAAATAAACTTATATATATATTACTGTACAAATAAAATAAAACAACAAACTGCGATGTTTTTGGAAGATGTAATACGTATGATTTTTTTCTGAAAATGATAACCACAGTCGAAAATAGTATCTTAGGTAGACGAAATCTTTGACATTTTACAATAGGTTTTATGTTCTAACTGGCATTCTGCCAAGTAGTTTGCCACTTTTCTTTTTTCTGCGGTTTCTACATTATAATTTTTTATAGGACCTTAACTAATCTGTAGATTTGGAGTCAGTCTAAATTGATTTCAGATCTTTAAAAAAATGAAGAAACAATAAAATAGACATACAGCATATCTTTTAATATATAATTAAAGTTCTTTTGTGGAATTTTATTATTTAAAAATTTTTTAACATTGGTAAATTAGGAGTGTTACTTAACTGTTAAGGATAAAACTTTTATATATTAAAAAATTTAAGGTACTATTTATTGTTATACACAGCTGCAGAGTCCGTAAATTTAAATGCAATATTATACTAACAGCAGAATTTTTCGACCTCCCTTTATGAATTGGCACGTGATAACTCAGCTAAGACATATTTTACTGCACATAACTATAAGATCAAGGTACGTACGTAGTCTATGAGGCAGAATGTATCCCTTCTTGGATTATAATTTTTTCAAAAACCATGTATTTGGTGAAGATATGAATTTTTGTATCGGTTTTCATAACATAGAATTTTAATTAATACGTTAATTCAACTTTAAAAAAGGAGTCGCTTAGAGCGTTACTATTTTATATATGTCACGTGTTCCTTAATTTATGAATGATTGTCAGTATAATGATTTTTAGTGGTAACTTCAGTAATTTGATTAGTATTGTCGATATGTTTTTCGAATTGTTTTTCGTCAGTCATCAATCTTTTTTCTTTACTAGACAAACTGAAAAGTGGGAATAATCCTAGGAAAGAAATATCTGAAAAAAAACGAAATTTTAAAGAATGATCAGAGAAATTTTTTAAAAAAGTGACTAAAGAATTTTTTTATATTAAATTACCAAAGTTAGATGATTTCTCCTTATTTTTCTTTTCGAATTCTAACTCTTGTTTTATCTTGTAATCATCAGCGTCAACTTTTTTTCCTCTAGTTACAAATTTGGCTTTTCTGACTTCAGTATCAGGCTTCACTTTAATGTTAATTGACATGATTTTAAAGTCTAGAAGGACGCCAACTCTGAGATTAAGTATCTAATAAAAATAAAATCAATCAAAGGTAAATACGACGCAACGTACAAAAAAAATAAATAAATAAAAATAGACAAAAAAAAATTACCAATAGGAATACAGATTGAAAACCTAAGAAAATAAGGTGCATAATAATAATAAAGCAATATACGGGACATAAGGCCTAACGAAGAAAAAGGCTTAATAATTTTATTAACAAAAAAAAATAATATCAAACAATAAAATACTTGTAAACGAAACTGACTATTGTGAGGCCACATTGAACGAGAAATACAAGCAAATGAAACTTGGGAGAATTTGGGTTTAATGTGGTTTTTGGATTTTGATCTTCCATCTAAAAAAAAAATAATAAAAAGATTAAAAACAATGTGCAATAAGTAGGATAAAACAAAATAATTAATAAATATACTAACTGTTAAAAGTAGAATTTCGTGAATAATCTTTTTGTTAAAATAATTTTCTAGATATAAATATATTTTATAAGCACGAAAAAAATTGGTCAAAGAGATCAAAATAACTTTGTTTATGCAAGACGCTAATATATATATGACATGTAAAAGCAGATATGATATCGATGAAAATTAATCTTTAATTGATAATTTAACTAGAACTGATTCCCTAATTTTCTGCTCTGCACGAAATACGTAATACAAACCTAAAATTGAAATTGACTTTGGGTTTCAGATTCATGTAGTTTGATCACATGATATAAAATTATAAAATTGTGTGACCCTTCTATAAACATCAAGTTTCTCAATAGAGGTTATATAATTGCGGTTGCTAAAGATCATTGCCCTGACACCTAATTCTTATCCAACACTAACCATAAATCAAACAAATTAACTCATAAACATGCCAACCTTATAAACGCAATCGCAATCACATAATCACGTTTCACATGCGAAGATGTACATACACAACATACACACTGAACTTTTAATGAGTTATTATGTAGTACAACAACTTATCGTTATCGTTATGATTGTTCTTGTATTACACATAGATTAGCTTGAATCATATGTTAATGTTAATACCCTACTGAAATTTACCGTAATTTACTGTAATTTACACGCAGAAAACTATAAACTTGCTGTTAGCTCTGATCATTTATATATTGGCAAACTCCTGTATGACTTCAAACATCAGTTTATAGGATCGATTTTCAGGTATCAATAAGTTCTTTGTCTTCATTTATTTATTTTCAATCACTTAGTTTCACTTATCATCACTTATCGTGTAAGTTAAAATAATAAGTGATAGAAAGGGTAACCACATAATCCGACCATTGTATCAAATAATGTACTTCGTACGTACATATATATTATAGTAACTACATCTTATCATGTAGGGATGAATTCTGCAGATTAATGCATGATCCTGTGCAAAAATTTTGACCTTTAACGCTAAGCAAAACCTTTTCCGACAATTTGTGGAGTTAATGCCCTATTCATTGTATGTACATACTTGATCAGCGCAGTAATGTATTATTTAAACCATCCATTATAGCATACAAATTTGGGTAATTAAATAAATGTCTCCAAATGAAGACCATGAAGACCAGGACTTCCAAATAGAATTTCCCATTAAGTAAATTACTATAAAATAAATATTATTCTGTATTTAGAGTTCCGGATTTTCTCTTGGTTACACTTAATTGTTTAAATATAAAAAAAAAAAAAAATTTCAAGTATTCGAATCACTGTAAAACAACGGATATGGGCGTTATTTCAAAAATTGGTTCCAACATAATGTCCCGAAATAAAGGCAATACTAAAAACTTTCCTTGGTTCCATGATTTCCTAGCAATTTATTTTATGGGAATTGTCACAGGCACTGCAACGCGTGACATAATTCTGAAATACTATAACACTACTTGAATGTGTGACAGGTTCGTGACGCAGCAATTATTCTTTAAAGCTCTTGATGTTAGGGTTAGGGTCAAAGTTAGAAATTAAAAGAAATGGTTTCTATAGTAAAATTGTCCAACAAAAACTTTTTGTTAGAGCACTAAAGGCGGTTTCTTATGTAAAACAGACGTTTGTTTTAACCGTGTTATATTCCGCCTGATCTTGAAATCTAATTCGTAGTTTATAACATGGGTGGTGGACACGAATGCCTTTGAGCCGAAAGGCATGCTTCTATCATGTGATCAGAGGCGATTGATCACGTGGTAATATAATGCTCTGATTGGCTACTATAATAAATATAACCTATGATCTTTGAATTATAAATTTTATTTTTTTAAAAATATATATATATATATTAAGATAAATGCTGACTTTTTAACCTTAATTACTAAATCAACAATTTATACCGTATTAACTTATTTATACAAATCATAAAACATAATGTTAATTTCAAATAATATTGATATCAGATATTTTCAAATGTTATAGGAAAAAACTTTTAAAGCAAGAAACATTAAACAACTAACAATTAACCATGTACTAAACCTTAATGAAACAGGATCAGTAAAAAAGTACAAGTACCCAAAAAAAATCTTAATAAAATCTTAATTTTAAAAATGATATTAAATTTAACGTTTGCAAAACGGGTGTCTATATAACTATTTGACATCGATGAGTTGAAATGTAAAAGTATATGTAACGAAAATCACTCGAGACATGAAAATATTAACATTTAGATAAAATCTATATATACTACCTAAATTAAACGAAAAAACAATTTGCATAAATAATTGTCGCTAAAGCTAGAAAATTTAAATACTTTAATATGAAATTTTCAAAAATTTTGAGTGCATTTTTTTGGTACAATATTTAGGTCAAGGTTTAGTGATAATTTTTATAATAAAAGAATATAGGTGGATTTTAGTAGTGTTTATATTTTTAAATCGAGGTCCCTTAATTTCCAGTTTTAGTCGCCACGATAATAATTATTGGACGTGATCTATTCAATATTTGATTGTGTGTTATTTACATAGAGGTTTAATGTTTAGCCTTATATTTTTTTTGTAAATATAAGTAGGAAAAATATAAATAATGAAAAAAATACGAATGAGAAAATATTGCATACGTCAGTAAAGATCAGAGGTTGAAAAATCATGTGACTGAGATCTCGATTATTGAATATACTCCTTAGCCAGAACTAAATCGAATGTTTATTCCTAAGTCTTTCCAAATACTGAAATATGTAAACTATTTTATCAAAAGCAACTGGTCAGTGCAAGAAGTATAATCATATGATTAGATTATAAGATTATTATCAGAAGAATGTAAATTGAAGTCATGGCATGATTTATTTTATAAGTAGAAAATGACATAGGGAATCATGCATTGAAGTCGTAGCAAAACATGTTCAAAAAAAATGCTATAAGGTATTATTATGCATAGTGAATGCAAAGCATTATGCACAAGATTAAGTAAGAAGATAATTAAAAGTCAAAGTAAAAGTTGTTAAAAAAAATGGTATGAGGCATTATACATAGTGAAGAAAAATAACGAGACATAGTAAAATTTAAAATTTATGTATTTGAAAAATGTATTTAAATCATCTTTTTAGTAAAATAAAAACTTCCGTGTTCAACTCGAATTCTAAATAGCATAAGATTTGAAATCATATTCATTAAAAAAAAATTTGTTGATTTTTAAGCATTCTAACTATTGATTAAACAATATCATTAAAAATTAACCTGTTAAGCATATCGTTGGCACTTATATTAAATTAATCTTAAAATTGTTTAATTTGCAAAATTATCAAATTCCTAAAAAAAATATGTATACTGTAGATAATTTGGTCACTATGGAAACCCCTCAGAATTTTGCTTTACCACTTCAAACTCAAGGTCAGCACTGGTATGGTCTGAGCAAAAGAAAGTTAGAAATAGATATATTGCAAAATTTAATAAAATATTATTTAATTAAGTGGTAAGCCTGATAACACTTATAGATTTTTATCACCCTAAATGAAATACTTCTTTAAATGCATGATGGTTTGATTTATTTATCTTTATATTAGTTGCATACACTTTCATTAATTAACTAACAACTACGTATCAATAATTCCGAATTTCCTAATAAAACATTAATTCCGCATAACTTATGTAACAAGTTAAATCGCCCACGCCAGATCGTTACACTGGGGTATGTGGTATATTATGTAAATCAAAGCTATATGCGGTCATATAATAAAATTTATTGATACTTTTAGATAGATAATAGTCATTACAAACTTTAAATAGATGCACAGCCCTAACGGCTCGACAGTTCCGGATAAAATTTTGCAAGAACTATTATATCTCTATAAATAAAGTTAGGTTTTTTTTTTTAATTAAAATACTCAAATAATTGCAATTAATTTTTCTCACAATCAATTATTCAGTAGACCTGCATCTGTTTAAAGTTTGTAATATAAAATTATTATCTACCTAAAAATCATCAATAAATTTATTATATGACTACATATAGTTTTGATTTACATAATATACCGCATACCCTAAACGTTACACTTGGAAATAATTTTCGAAGAAATAATTGTAGACATAGTATCTTTAAGCGATAAGGATTTCACTGCATCCTTTTAAATTATATAAAAAGTGTAAATAATTTCTTTTATTTCTGCATTGAGTTTGAATTTCAACAAGTTCATTCAATATGATACTTAAATTTTATTTTATTATTATTACATTAATTCTTATTTCAACTTTTGCTCAAAGTAAATATTTTTCATTTCGATGTTAAACCTCGATATAAATTAATTTTATACTCTAATGCTAATAATTTTAAATTTTATTAAATATATATATTATAGGTCGTAAGTAATATTTTTATTGATTTATAAATAAGAACGAATCTATTTGTCGCCGGAGGTGACACAGTGACCGTCACAATTGGCAAATCACGGCATAGAATCACGGGTAACATTAGTGTAATCCGAAAACGAAAGAAAACAACAAAAGGTTTCAAAATTTAGCAACAGTTCAAAATTCGCCTACGAAACTACATTTAGTTTTCTAATTAAAAAAATTCCTTGCGAAATTTTACTATATGTTGTGCCATAACCTTGAACCTAACGATAATTAATTTTAGCGTTTGTTTTGATCCTGTTACATGATGTGATTGGCCAATTTCGACTGTCACCGTGTCACCGCCGGTGACAAGATTTTTTCTATAAATGAACACTTTTTTATTTAATATTTTATTATTATTACTATCGGTAAAATATTAGTATGTAAGTATAAAAAATAGATTTAATAAAATAATTTAGGCTTGATTAAAGAAAATATAAATTCACTTTCAATTCTTTTATTACCAGTGCGTAAGTATTAGATATCTTGTCGGGAAGCGATATTATATTCATTTTCATGATAAGTTAATCTATTTTTAATAAGATATTTCTTATATAATGTAAAGTGGATCGAGCAATTGAAAGACATAGAGCAGCAAGATTGGCCCATCAATATCAAAGAAAAACGCCAGATGACAATGATAACAAACGTTCAGCATTCATAAAAGATTATTATTTTTATAATGAATATCATAAAAAGTAAGTATAAATAAGTATATTTATTAATGCTAAACTATTAATACTTATCTATTATAATTATATCTAGAATTAATGATGAAAATATTAAAGTAGACCCTAGAAGCACCCCAACCGAAAATCCAAGTATAATATGTTTCATATTTATAATTTATCCATATACTGTAGTTGTAAGAATGTTAATCCTACAATATATCTTGCTTTTCTGTCAGGAATATGTATTATTGGCGCAGGAATGACTGGTATGCTTTTTAATCAATATATTTTATATGTATCATGAATGAATTTAATCCTATATTTGTACTATCAGGTTTGTTCTCTGCCCTTCTTTTAAAAAAAGTCGGTATCAATGATATCACTATTCTTGAATATCAAAATCGTGTTGGTGGACGTGTCCATACTCATTACTTTACTGATAGTTCTGATGATGACAGACGTTTATATGGTGAACTTGGTGCAATGAGATTACCTTATATCCAAGATCGACCAGATTTTAATCAACATCAATTAGTATTTGATGTAATTGATTATCTGAATGAATATAATGAAAAGGATGATTCAGATAGGGAGATCAAACTTATTCCTTTTATTAATCGTAATCCAAAGTAAGTAATATATAACATTTTAAACATATAATCAACTATTACTATGAATATATATATTAATGATTTATATACATTTTAAATAATGACTATATAAACAACCATAAAAAGTGCCTTATATTATTTCAACAATAAAAAAACCCCATCCAATGAAATTATGACCAATAACTACTCACAAAATATTGGAGTAAAACAATTAGGATTACCTGATGAAATTCCAGATAATTATCTTAATATTTGGAGTGATGCAGTACAACCTTTCTATGACGAATTAGATGCAAATTTCACCAATGGCCTCATAAATTTAAAACGTTACGATAATCATACTGTCTATTCTTACTTAAAAGAAATTATTCTTCCCAAAGTATTACCATCAAACCCTGCTGATTATGATGAAATTATTGATGCTATCGAAACACAAGAAGTAGGAACAGGTATATAATTATTCTTTTATCAATTGTTAGTTAATTATAAATAAAAAATCTATTGTATACATATTAGGTGGATATCATCATTATGGTTTGGTTACTTTTATCATTGATTCATATTCCACCAGTAATCCTAACTTTGAAGTAATCTGGAAAACCATTGATAAAGGAATGCAACGGTTACCTAATGCTTTCTTACCAATTATCAAAAAAGAAAATATTAATTTAACTTATAATAGTGAAGTTTATAAACTGGAAAAAATAAATGATGGTAAAATTGAAGTATATTGGAAAAACAATGGAAAAAGTGTTTCTGAAATTTTTGATCGAGTAATTGTCACCGTTCCATTAGGTCTTGTTCGTCATTGGGATTTACCTTTAAGTAAGTACATTTATAAAAAAAAAATTAACCTTATGAATTAAAATATTTATTTATTTAATCATTTTGATCATTTAATAGCATTATCATATGGAAAACGAAGTGCTATTCGTGAAATGGATTATGGATTTGCTGGAAAAATATTTCTTCAATTCAAATCACGTTTTTGGGAAAAACCTCCATCAGAAACTGGTGCTAATCCTACAACTTCTAATGTTGGAATCATTGGTGGTATCACTTACACTGACCTTCCTATTCGTACTTTAGTTTATCCTTCATATTATCAAAATATATCTTCTGATAATCCTGGAATCCTTTTAGCATCTTATACTTGGAGTAATGATGCGATAAAATATGGTCAATTCAGTGAGGAAGAACGATTTGAACTTGCATTAAAAAATTTAGCAATTATTCATGGTGATATTGTATATAAAGAATGGATTCCAGGTAAAAAGAATAATAAGGCTCAATATTGGCCAAATGATAGGACTTCTGGAGGTGCTTACGCTGAGTTTGGTGTCTCACAATTTGTAACATTAATGGGTGCAATGATGAGATCGGAGGAATTTATTCATTGGGGTGGAGAACATACTGATATACATTGTGCATGGATTGTTGGAGCTTTAAATTCTGGAATTAGAGTAGTCAAAGAAATACTACTTGAAAATTTAATGAGTGATAGATGGTCTGAGTTAAAAGATTCAAGATTATTAAAATATTGGAATGGAAATCTTAATGCTTTTGAAGGTTATTAAGGTGCATATTTATTTTATATACTATTAGTTAAAGTAATAATGAAAAGTTATAGTTGTAGAATTTTTTAAAATTATACAATTTTTTAAATTTAGAATTTATTTAAACAATCTAAATACAGCCAGACCTCTCTAAATGCATAGCCGTGGGGCAGTCAAAAAATCTTGCATTTAGGGAGGTAAAATCTATAAGTGTCATATGAGTTGGGAACAAACAAGGCCATGCATTTAGAGAGGTCTTTCATAGACTATGCATTTAGGAAGGCCTGACTGTAATAATTTAAAAAACCTTTATTAATTAACTGTTAATGATTATTAATAAAAATCCAACTATTTGATCTTGAAATAAAAATGAGTAACAGCAAACCATACAATATGCGATTAAAAGTAATCAATGATAAATTATCAATTAAAAAACATTATCTTTTAAATACAGCTCTGACTAATTTGTTTAAGACATTAAGACTCATACAGCGACCCCCCCCAAAACTTTCCGCATTCCGCCGTACTCCGATTTTTGTTATCACGTTATGAATTATCGTTCGTTATTGATTATTCTATGATCTTACTTATTATCGTTATGAAAATGCAGTTAATATTCGAAATATTCAAATTATAATAAAAAAGTTTTTTCTTTTTTTCTTATTAACAATGAAACGTTGTAGTAGTTGCAAAAATTTTTTACCTGAAACCGCATTTAAAAAAATTAAAGCAACGTTATCAAAAACTTGTAATCAATGTTTGGATTACCGAAACCATAAAAATTGTGAGATTCGAAAATCAAAAAAAATTTCTCAAGATAATGATTATATATTTAATAATGACGATGTTGAATTGGCCGAGATTCATATTAATCAATTATCACAATTTGTTGAAGAATTTGTTGCCAATGAGGAAAATAAGGAGTTTGAGCTAAATATATTATTCGATATTAATGAAGAGATGAATTCAATTACTCAAATTGCTAAAAAATTACGTGAAATAATTGGAGATAGTGATGGTTATAAATGGAAGTAAGAATTAAGTTTGTTAATTATATAATTATTATAAAATCAATTAAAAAAATATATATTAATTTAAAATTTGAAAATGTTTAGCTTTTGGAAAGTTAATTATTCAACTTGCCTTCCTGACCAAAAAGGAACAATATATTATCATTGCAGTCAATCTGCAGTTTTAAATAAATTTAAAAATTCTAATAGAAAACGAATTACAAGATTTGAATGTAATGGGCAGTTTATTATTCACATTAATATGATAAATTCTAAAGCTTATATTAAAGTCAAGCATTTATTATATCATGAGTGTCCTGCTATTTCTACTGAAATTCTAAAGGAAATAATTGCTAAAATAAATCAAAATTATCATCTTGATTCTTTACAACTTCGTTCTTATCTATCTACACATTTTGATTTACAAGATATTACACCTAAACAAATTTATTATTGGTGGAGTGTTTCAATTCAATCAAAGTATCAAAAACATAAAGATCCTATTTGTTCAGCTATTATTTTATTTCAAGAACAATTTCAAGATTGTGAATTATTAATGTCAATTAATAATGATACTTTAACAGCAATTATTTTTTCAACACCAAATCTTCAAAATTTAAAAAATATTAAAGAAATTCATATCAATGCAACATATAAAACAACTAAAGGTCATTTTGAGCTTTACAGAATTTTTGAAAAATATCAAGGAACTGGATTTGCTTTGGGCTATTTAATTTTAGATATAATTCGAATTAATGGAGAGTTGGAATTATCTAAATCAGAAATTTTAATTCAATTTTTATTAAAATTTCAAATTCTTGGTCTTTCATCTGATTTTATATTTACTGACAAAGATTTTACTCTAATTAGTGCAATAAAAAATGTATGGCCAAATAAAGGCATTCAATTATGTCTCTGGTATTTGAAAAAAGCTATACTTACAAAAATGAAAACAAATAAATAACAAGTACAATATAGTTTATTTACAATTGCTGATTTTCAACAATTTCCATTTATTGATCCAAATTTTGTTCCCTAAGTAAATCAAACTGAAATTATTTGTTCTATACAGTATCAAAAAAAGATTTTAGATTTAATTGAAATTCATTTTAATTTACATCCACTAATTTCAATAAATCAAAATAGTACTTTATTAACAAAAGATGAAATATGGAAAAAGGCTGTTTATGAAATATATCAATTATGTTTTTAATTCAATAATTCAAAACTTTGGAATTATCTTTATTTTTCATGGTATACTAAAAATTGTTGGAATTTATAGACTAGAAATAATCATTTATTAATTTCTTTTAGCAAAACTAATATGTTAATTAAATTTCACTGGAAGGTAATTAAATATGATTACTTATATAGATTTAATCATCCAAGACTTGATTATGTAATCTTTATTCTTTATGAAAAATTAATTCCAACACAAAATATTCGTCTTTATCAATTAACTATAGAAAGAATAAATCCTTACTGGTAGGAAGATCTAAAAAAAGATTGGATAAAATGTATTAATGCTAAGCAAAGTAATTCTAATGAGAGATATTATACCAATACAAACCAATGGATTTGTAGTTGTTTAACATTTCTTCAAAGCTGATTTTTGATTTGTAAGCACCTTATATAGGCAATTGATAGTAGCACATATCGATTAATTTATAATACCTTTCATTGCAATCGACAATATCTATTTTGGAGTATTGATAGATTAGCAAATAATAGTAATATTAATAATAATAATAATAATATTAGCAAAGTTCAAATACCAGAAGAATCAAATATTTTAAATATAGTTAAAAATGAAGTTCAAATATCAGAAGAATCAAATATTTTAAACATAGTTGAAAGTGATAATGAAAATGATTTAGCAATAGAAGAAATCGAAAGAAAAATTGAAAAACATGAGTAATTTATTCAACATGTTTGAGAAGAATATGAAACAGGTTAATTTTTTTTTATAAATAATATTTTTTATTATTATAACAATAATAATTACTATTTTTTATTATAATAATTTAGGAAATATTTGATATGTAAAAGCATTATTAAATGGATCTAAAAGAATTTATACAATGATAGATGATATTAAAAAGGCACAAAGCAAATAAGTTAGAGAATGTATATGGAAAGACTCAAAACCTCATACAATGTTTTTGTGATAAATAGCATTTATATAAATTATTTATAGCAATAATTTTAATAATTATTATTGCATATTTTTTAGCGTTGCAAGCATATTAAAATTTAAATATCTCAGGATATAAACTTTATATTTTTTTTGATAAATTAGCAAACTAGTTCAAACGAACATTAGATACTTGTATTTTCAATACTGTTTTTATAATAATAAAAACATTATATATGTATTAAAGTGAAAGATTATAAAACTTTTAGTATTTTTATTAAAAAATTATTTAAACAAACCTATGATTAATTAATTATACTCGCATTTCACTTATGTTTATAAAAGATGCTTTTAAAATAATAAAACTAACAATAGTATTTTATAATTAATTTTTTTACCAACAACGAATAATATTAATATATATATATATATTTTAATAAAAGTGCATATATACAAGGTTTGAAAAAAAGAACACTTTTTGGATATTAAAAAAAATCATATGCAAATAATCAGAGTATAGCAGAATGCAGAAAGTTTTGGAGGGGTCGCTGTACGAGTTAGACATTAAAGATATTAGTATGATAGGTCACATTTATATGCAATCTATATTACATAAGATTTGAATTGAACAAGTAAATCGACAGATCGAGTCTGTGTTAAAAAATAAAATTAAAAACTGTTTAGCTGATTTTATTAATTGCAGTTTAACTTCTTAATACAATTCATAGTAGAAAGTTTTAGTTATAAATACATTTTTGATTTTTTTTTTATAATATCAACTTGTACTTTTACCTTTATTGAATTAATATTAATTAATACATTGTAGTTCTTACAATACATTTATGCTTACTATATTACTATAGCATACAATGTGACATTACATCTACATTTTTCTTTGTTATTATAGCTACATATTGTATTGGTCATTACTAACTTTAAGGTAAGGTTGTAGTTATCTTGCTATACTATATTCTATATTTCTATCTGATTATAATCTTTTTATCTACTTTCTTAATAATTCTTTTTTCTTCTAAATTGGTTGATTTTGATAGTTTCTTGCTTTTCTTACTACCAATCTGATGTATACAATCTTTTATATATTGGTACTAATTTGGCATAGTAAATTTATTGAGTTTTAAATTTTTAATCTGTAACTATTATATATTCTTTTTTGTATATTTTTATAGTTAACACAAGTCAAACAAATAAATAAAAGGTAAATAATAGGTAAATAATAATAAAAAATCTACTATTATTTTACTCTATATCTGTCAAATAATGACAATATAACAATAGCATAATAGTAGAATAACAATAAAAAATAGAAAAGTTGTTGATATAAGTAACATAATGGTAACATATTAGCAAAATAATGAAATAGTTTTATTATTTTACTTTTAGTTATAAAAATTAAAAATAAAATAATAGGATTGTTTTATTATTTTATTATTATGTTACTATTATATTACTCATATTGACAAACCTCCTATTATTCTGCTATTATTCTGCTATTCTGCTGTTATTATTTAGCAGATATAAGATAGAATAATGACAAATTTTTTTCTATTATTTATCTATTATTTATTTTTTATTTATTTGTTTAACCTGTATAGTTTTGGTTATAATATAGGTGTATATGCTTTCTCTAATATTTATAGATAAAGTTTCATAATTTGATTTAATTTAAAATTTTATAATCGAGCATTTAAATTTATAAGTTATTTACTTGAAATTTATTAAGACAATTGGTTTTTTTTATTTTATTAAACTAAAAAATTTGGTTATAAAAATATTTTTATTTAAGATCTTAAGATTGATTAGTATAATACAGTAATAAATTTATTTGTAAATTAAGATTTATTTTTATTAATCAAAATTTTAAATTTTTTTTAAATTAAATTAAATTCAAATATTTAAATTAAATATTTGGTCAAATTAAATTTAAATCTAAAATTTTTAAATTAAATCAAATTTAAATTAATTTAATATTTGATTTAATTTAGATTTAAAGAATTCTATATGTAGATATACTATTGGAATTATACTATAGTACTATTAGAATTATACTATTTTACTTCTAATTTAGTATTACAAAAAGATCCTAAAACTTAACTTATTATGTATAAGTATAATAACTATTAATAATATTGTAATATATAATTATTAGTTCTGTTTTCTTAAGAATTATAATATTTGCTAAAAATATTATAATTTTAGTTAGATAATTTTTTGTTACAGATCTTCTTTATAAGTACTGTTTTGTTTATTACTTTAGTTTTAATTATATTAGTATCATTTTTTTAATCAAATACTCTGAAATTAGATACAAAAAATATTAGTACTGTTATATTTTTTAGAGGACTTATTTAGATAATATTTTATATATTAGAACTTTTTATTATATTATTGGCATATATAATGATTTCTTTTTATAAATTGATTTTTTTTCAAAAATTTCTAATCTGTTCTTATACTTTATCTTAAAACTTTTCACAGAGTTTTATATCTGATTTGGTCTTTATTTTAGATTACAAAGTTTTAAAATTCTTAGATTTTTTGTCTTTAGTTTAACTTAAATTATTGATTTTATTTGTAAAAGCTTAGTAACTTAACTATTAAATTATAGAATTTAATCTCTTATAAATTATAAAGTACTAGAACCTTCTATGTTCTAGATAAAGCTACTCTAGTTTTATATAACATATAATATTTCTCTAATACTTATAGTTACAAGAATTATCTATTTAACTACTACATTATATTATTTCTATTTTTGTAAAGTTTACTAAAACCCTAGCATCCATTTTTGCAATGTTGCATCCTATTGCATCTCTTCTTACTTAAGACCAACATAATTTCTCAAACTTTCAATTCAAATAACCTAATATAATATACTTAGTATTCTTTTTTTTTTAAATAGTCATGCTAGTATTTTATTAAGCTTTTGAAATTATATTTACAATTACATAAATATCCTTGACAACTAAGTTTAGCATTATCTAACTACTTTAATAATATCTAAGTATAACCTGTTGCATTATTTTAAACAGAAGTAAGCTTCTTGTTTAATTACTTAAAATCTATAATGAAAGAATTTTTTTCTTTTTATAACAAGCCTCAAAATTGTTTTCTGTATTTTTATTCTGATTTAGTTCTCTTTTTTTTTTGTTTTTTTTTGTTTTTTTTTATTCTTTACTGATTTGTCTTTTTTTTCTTACTTGATTTTAGTTTCTTTTTTCCTCTCTCTTTTTTTAACCTACTTATAATTTCTATTTTTTCTTTCTATTCACTAATCTTCTTACATCAGATTCTCTATACTTGTTTATAAAATATATTTAAGATTATTCTTGTTATTATACTTATAAACTACTATCTTGATTTTATGCTTAGAAGTTGTCTTAATTTGTTCTATATTTCTTTTAGAATTAGGTTTTTGATTAATATCTCTTTTATTTTTATTTCTTTTGCTTCTGTTTTTTTAAAGAGCACTATATATAATATATATAATGAGATCTGAACATTTTTTTCTTTTAGCCCTTTTCAGGCTGTTGTAATAATCACTTTTTGGATTCTTTTCTATAATTTTTTTTGTCTCTTATATGTTGCCAAATGCATCTGTGTTTCTTTTACTTTATCTTAACATACTTAGCATTTTGTTATTATATATATATCTGGTCTTTTTTCATTAAGTTCTTCTAAAATTGAAAGTTTATTTATTATATACTTTATAAATAGACTTCTTCTAGTATTGCTTCTTCTTAAAAACTCTTTCTGCAAATTCATTACACAAAAATTAACTAAAAAAACCATCCGTCTAAAAACGTTTATAACATTTTATTTTACTAAGCCAATCTGTCCTGGCGTCTTAAGTAAACTTGTTCAGCTCAATGATTTACATATACTCTGAAAATATTATAGATTTAGCTCTTAAACTCACAGAGAAACTGTACTGATGGCCTTTGGCCTCCAGTTTTAGAAAACTAACTTTCTTGCAGTTTCTACTGCAATAACTTGTCTCTTATCCTTAATTAAAGTTGTAGTATATATTTGCCTGGTCATAACAAGCTCTAAAGGAAGAATTTTGACCCAATATCAGCTGAATTACAACTAAATTCACTTTTTACTCTTCTGTAAAACTTATTTTCTTATTTCCTAACTATACCCTACCCCTTTTTTCTTTACATGATTTTCATATAACTATATTATTATTTCTCAATTAATATTTTATTAATTTATACTAAAATCTTGTAACCAGTCTATTAATAGAAACTCATTGACACAATTTAATCATTTCCATTTTTAGTTCTTATTAATTGTACATAGCAATTTGTATTGCAAATCTTATTTGTACTAGTACCTGAACCATATCTGTGATCTCAACTATCATAGTTACACTTTAGTATTATTCCTGTGATACTCTAACTATATAACTCTTGTTTTCATCTACTACTCCTATAAAACAATCACCTGATCAAACTTTTAACTTAGAATTTTCTAAGTTTATTTTCTTATAATATTATTCAATTTAATTTATCTAAAAATGCTTACATTAACCAACCAAGAGCCTGATATAACAGATCTTAACTACCTTTACCAAAACTTTTCTAATAGTTTTGGAATTGCTCTTTTTGAAGAAAAAAGTGGCAATAATGCTCGTCCAATTCCTCCCAAAGCTAAACCAACCTCTTGCTTAATTAAAAATCTTAAATCCAATAAAATTACTCATTTCTTTCAAGCTTCTACCTCTATTTCTATGATTACTTGTCTCTGTAACAAATATCACA